GAGCACAGCCGCGATGAGCGCGGCCCGTTCTTGCGTGCCATGTAGGGCCGCGAAGACCAAGGTGAAGGGCTTGCTTCCCACATAACATCAGAACATACTGACCGACTATCAAAGTGTGACCTTGCCCGGCCCACCTGTGGACGATGCACCCAACGAGGACTGAATTGTTCTGGACTCCCTGCGGACTCTATCTTTATTTTCCGCGACGAGAATGAGGTCGCACGGAGAAATTCCCAACGTGCGCGGAGGCAGCAGAGGCACACTCCCGTAGCTATGGCTCCGAGCCCAACCGAAACGATACAACAATCTCACCAATTACAAGCGGGAGCGACAAGATTGGCCGACCTTCTACAGCCGCAGAGCTCTTGGTACAATCAGCGCGCGATCGCTGAAGTGCCGGCACCCTTGAGGAGAGATGTAGAGACTAGGGCTGTGGAACGATTCTTCGTCAACTGGACGCTGCACCCGAGCAATCACGCGTCTGCAGGTAAGACGATATCGTCCTCCTAACTCGAGTAACTCGAGCCGTTGGCTTATACCAAAGAACTCAGGCCATATGCATGATCTCCCCTCTCTCTTCCAGGGTGCCCAGCCAGATTCCGCCCTATATCTTGCTGTGCGAGCTGTAGCCTTCGCGGATATGAAAAATGAGAGTGCTGAAGGTGTTCCATTCTATATCAAGGCACGGCAGCAATACGGCGCCACTTTGAACCGCGTGAGAGCCATGGTGAACAACCGGGATGACCTTGGCAGCGACCAAGTTCTCTCGGCTATGCTATTAATTGATAATTTCGAGGTACATCGGTTCCATAGTATTCTACGAACCCAATTACTAACCCAAGAACAACCTATAGTTGGTGTACCTGGCACGCAAGGACCCGGTCGGTGCTCACAGCCAGGCTATCAGACACGTACTTCGCAGCAGAGATGAGACGCACTTTTACAGTCCATCACGCTTTTCCCTTTGGTGTGTGGCGCATTACCGCCTTCAATCTTGGCAAACCTTGCTCCGCGAGCGCCCTGATGCTCAGCAAATAGCGTGGGTTAGCAAGTTAAACCTGGAGCGCCCCGACCTCCGTATCTGTGGCTATGTCCTCCACATGAATATTCTTAGCGCACTGGCAAAGATTCTAACGCAGACTGCGGAGAGTGATGAGAGCATGCGAATACAAAAGATCAACGAAGCAAATCGGCTAGCACAAGAAATACAGGATCTTGCCGCAACAGTTGAGAGCTGGACCTCGGAGATGACTCGAATATGGAACACGAAGTTCGAGGACCCCCAGAGTATCGCACGACCTCAAGACGTGGATGAATCGCCCAACTTTCCCATTCCTCGGTTCCCATATCCACATCTCATCAGCTACGATGACCTTTGGCTGGTATGCGATGCCCAATCCCATTGTGCGAACCAGACTAACTGGGAATCAAGGCATATATATGGAACTTTTACGCTGCAAGCCAGATTGTTCTCCGAGAGTCATTGGTTGATGTGATTAATTACATTGCCACGATACAAGGACAGGGCGAGCCTGATGAGGACGGCAAACCAATCACCCAAAAGCAACGAGACTGGGTTGATGTGCTCTCCAATGCCATCATTGGGTCGTTTCCCATGCTTCTTGGATTCACGGTGAGGCATGAACAGATTGAACGGCCACAGCTCCCACGACAAGGCAGGATGGCGGGGAGACTGTTTGCTCTCTTCTCTATGTGGGCGATACAAAGAGCAAATTTCACATCGGCTCAGCACAAACAGACCGCAGCCGAGGTAGTTGACTGGATCAACTCTCGCCACGGATTAGGCTGAGGTGAATAGCGCTTCACCCGTCTTTCTATCCTGTTCGAGTAGTGCTAGTAACGCATCGAACCGGGCATCAGTAATAACCGGCGAAGCGAGTAGCATAGGTGCCAATAGTAATTTGGATTTGTGGCAGTTTTTACGGCATCCGAGAGTATGATTTACAATTCGGGGATGTATAGGAACTGTTGACGCCATAACGACCATCCTGCGCTGTTCTGTTCGGCGCTCGTTTACTATTTGTAAACTGCCCACGTGCACTAGTGGTACGAACAAGGGGCATTGCACGGGGAAAATTTGCAGTGAAGGCATGACTTGGTTCACGCTACCTCAGCAAAGCCCCGGAGGGCCAAAAAATTGCAGTGAATGGTGGCGCTTTCTGTTTGGCTGGCGCGTACGCCATCGCGCGGTTTATTTACATGGCGTCAACCCTTAGAGCCCATACCTCCTAAGTCAAAATACATGCGACGAATTAGAGAGTGCCGAACGTCCAGGAGCTCTCCCAGTCGTACGTCTTGCCGGGGCCGGTGATCTGGGCGTCGGTGCGGTTCCACTCGGGGCTACAGAAGCAGCGGTTAGTTTCTCATCATTGGATACAGAGCGGCCGCGACTCACTGGTTGATGCCGTCGACAAAGTCCTGTGCCTCGATGGCGACACACGAGCTCCGGATGACCTTGGAGGTGGAATTGGTACCCTGGGTACTCTTGAGGCTTGCCGAGCCGTCCATCCAGTTGCATGAGTAGATAACAACGCCGACTTGGTTCGTCCGCAGGTCCGCCTTGATGCCGGACCACGGGCTGGCCAGCGTCGTGACCACGGCGTCCTTGGGCGCGTTATCGATCAGGAAGTAGCCGTTGTAGCCCTCGCAGGCGCCGTCAGCCCCGCAGTTACCCGCGAACTTGGGGTCGTTGCGCGCGTGCCCGAGGAACATGCCAGGCTGGCTGGCGAAATCGTTGATGCTGCCCGGAGCGGCGGTGCCGATCTTACCAGTCGGCAGGGCACCCTGGTCAGCTTCGAGGAATCGCTTCGAGTAGGGCATGTAGAGCGTGTGGTTCCAGATCTTCTGCGTGTCCGGGTTCTTGAAAGCATCAAGGTTAAAGTACGTGTGTTGGGTGAGCATCAGGGCTGTCGATAGAGCGTTAGCGTCAAGGTTCGCGGGAAAGCGGCAACCGGGCAGTGGGGGGTTCACGAACGAGTCTTGGTCTCCGGCGCAGTTGCCTGCATCTTGATGCTCCAGGTGCTGTTTGCCACGCTGTACGTGACATTGGCATTCACGAGGCCCGGGAGGCCCTTCTCAGAGAGACCCGGGTCCGAGATGGAGAAGGTAATGGAGTCGTTAGACAGCGCCGTGACGTTCCAAACGCGGTAGGACCAGTTGTTAGTACCGCTGTGCAGCGTGTTGCTGCCGTCATTCTTCTCCGTCGTGAACGTCTGGTTGCCGAGCTTGTACATCCCGTTCCCAATGCGATTGACATAGCGGCCAGGAATTGAGTTATAAACGGGATGGCCGGGGTCCTTGGCTGTAGGCTTGGCGTGAGCACCTGGAGGATAGATACGGGGAGAGAAGGGGGCTTACGATAGTATGCGGCATCGTCATATCCGAGAACGACGTCAACGTCCTTGCTGTTCTTGTCCTTGACCCAGAGGTTCGTCAGGGATGCGCCGTAGGGGATGAACTAGATAATAGTCAGCTTCCATGCTGCCTTGACCCCGAGTAGCCTCAGTTACCTGCGCCTTGATCCCGGCGGACGAGATGGTGTATCGCCCGTCGGCACCGGGAGGAGGGATCGCCTGGCTGAGTGCAGCCGACGAATCCGCCAGGGCGGCCAGCAGGATGCTAGAGTATCTCATTTTGAACGCCGCGTAGCACGAACTCGTGGTTTCCCAGGACCTTGGACCTGGAGAAGGCTCGCGGGTGGGGAACTCTGAGACTTAAATCGGCCTATAGGTCCCTGGTTTCCCTCTGCATTGCGACCCTTCCCGGAGATGACCTGGCCAGGGGCCAATGGCGTGGCGATCCCCGCGCCTGGTTGTGGATTTAGGAAGAAGGCGCCAGCTCGTGAGGCTATTATGGGGTAATCCGACCAGACGTAACCGATCAGGACGGTTCCGCAGCCAAGACAGCAGAGCGGGACCGTAAACAATGAGGAGAGCGCGCTGATTGCTCCAAAATCAGCCTGAGTTGTCCACCACCGAGCCACCAGCGCGGAGCGTCCAGGCACAACCGGTTTATCCAGACAACCAGTGCGGAGAACTGCAAGGCACCCTTCGCGCCGGCGGCGACCCCGCATCGCGAGATTGCAGGCGGTCGTATTCTAGATCATCGTCAACCACCAGCGCCGCGGGCCGACGCCGAAGGGATCCCGCCCAGGCGAGCTCACGGCGCAGTCTGTATGTCGAAAATGGCAATTTTGCGGTCAACCAGGAGGAGTTCGTCCAACGCCTAACTGGCTCCGGGAGCTTTGCCGTGCTATTACCCTAGCCCGGTCAGCCAACCTCCCCTGGAAGCGCGGCCAAGGTGTTCCGTCCTCATTTTGGCTGGGTAAACTTGCCCACAGCGGCCAGTGGCTGTCATACAGCCACTCGTTCCCAGGTTAGTCCAGCCGAGGCCAAAGATACCGGCTATGTCGTGACACTCCGACTATCGTACACGGCAGATCATCTACTACGGCGGAGTCTGACTCTGAAGCAAGGCCGCACGCTCGCTAAGTATCAGTCGGGGACACGCCTTGAGAGCAGCATCCGGCAGTCTAGGTACGCATCATCTGCAGCGTAAAAAAACGCGGCCCGAGACCGAAGAGCCTACATAGCCTTGTGCATTATGTCGCTTTATGATCGAATCTTTTCTCCCTTTACTAGGCGACTGTAATTCAGGCTGTTGTGTCCAATCGCCTCATCCCGCATGTAAAAATGAGGTAACTTGCAGCAGGAGTCATGGGAGTAGGTGATAGCTACCTCAGTGCAGTGACGAATGTTAGATACCATGTTGCTGGCACATATACCGAGGTGTGTTTGCATGTTGGCGCTGCCTCAGTTGCATGAATGTTCAAACCGACAACATACCTTAGGTACCACGGAACGGAGTAGACAATTGAACCGCGCCCCTTCCAACTTCAAAAAAGAAAAGTAAAAGCAACTGTTCAAAAGCGTATCAAAAAGAAATTGATAGGAAGAATGAAAGGCAAAAAAAGATGCGCTTGACAAGAGTGGGATTCGAACCCACGCCCTTTCGGACTGCCATGAATACTTGCATATTCCTGAAGACAGCGCCTTAGACCGCTCGGCCATCTTGCCTTGCCTCGTTGCCGCCTTAGTCGGGATTATGAATGACAAATAACTAGGGGATCGAAGAGCGGGGACGAGATCTAAAGATAGTACAGCTGGCCGGTGGTGGGGCGGCTTAGGGAAAAGCCTGCCTGCCAGGTGCCAGGGTTCTGGTAGCGTGGCGCAGGATGCACTCCTGTGCCTGTGAGAGGACGCAATGCAACACGCCCAGTCAGACTTAGTATTCGCTCTAGAGTAGTGGTAGTATACTCCTACATAGTGGCTACTCCGAGCCTTGTAATTATACCAAGTTTCGTCAAGGGTTTGTGAATCCAGCTCAGCAACTATGGCGGCCATCTCCCGACGGTAACCTGGACCCGTAGCAAACTAGAAGGTGAGCTTCAATCGGGGAATACAGCCGGTGCACTTCTGACTTCTTATAGGCTTCTTATGAGCACCGGATTAAGTAATGAATCTCAAGGCTTCTATTGCAGCATTCCACTCCGGTAATCTCCTGCCCATTATAGCCAGCCAGCTTCGCCCTCAATAGCAATAGATCCTTCTCATCGATTTAAAGGTATCTAAGACGATCGATCGTGCTAGCCGCCTAGCAACTGCTATTCAGTACCTCGTTTTCCCAGCAGCACGGCTAGGCCAACATCAACGCCCCACGTTGCAAAGTTGTTGGCTGTCGATCATCCAAGTACGGACGGTCCGTCTGGGTGGATGGTCCCCTCGCTGTGCTATCGGAACCGGCTGGGCACGATCGTACCCGAAAAGCATTACTATAAGATCGGAAATCATAAGAGGGCTTACTCACGGGATGCCGATTTGCCGGATGCGCGCCGTGATTAATATGATGGCTAATAGCAATACAAGAAACCACCATGCCCAGGACTAGATTATCCAACGCTCTCTTATTTCCTTGTAGCCTCGTTTAGTGCCTCTCTTTCTCATCTTTCACTTCGGTCATAGCCTCGGTCCGCTTACCACCACGTTTCGCGCAGCCATTGTCGCACAAATCTTCTGCTCCTGCCTCCGCGTGCGTTTGTGATTGATGCTCGCGGGTGCTAGCAAAAGTTCAAGATGCCGGCGTCAACTACTTTGCCTAGCACAATATTTTTCTCATTTCTGGCCGGCGTACTCATGCTGTATGCAGGGGCGGCGCGAGCACACCGTTCTTCGGCTGTCATCTCCAGGCAAGCCCTGACAAACTGCCTGGAAAACTCCGGCAGAGTCAATAACTTGACTCTTATTTACACCCGTACCCTGGATGGAGGTCCAGCCGGAGGAGAAGACAGCATGATCTATTTTCAGCTTGGCAACCCGGCCCTCGGGGTCGACGCCCAATGCTCGGCACATGGGCCGACCTTGGCGCCAAGCGGGACGGACAACACCCTCTTCGATCCCGGAAAGTGGTACAACTGCTTCGTAGAGTCGAGAGACCCGAGCATAGACGCCGTGTTTCGCTTTGACTCGGTGCAAACCCGGCTTACGGTTAACGAGACTTGGGCATGTCAGGATGAAAAGACCGATACTATGTATGTCCCATACGGAGATCCCAGAATTTTGCTTCTTTCACTACTGGAGCTCATGACCTGACTTGATATCCCTTCAAGGGTGCCGTTCCAAGCCTATGGAAGCACCAAGATGCCCCTTATCTGCAGCGGTGATAAGGCGTCCCAAACTGAGTGCCACCAAGATAGCAATCCAATATCCATCTCAGTCTCGGTGACTCGCTCAGCCTGAAAGGCGTGGTGGCAGAGCCAGATCCCGAAGTCTATCTCCGGAGATCTCGCCAGGTCCAAACCTCCAGACGCCACCTGCAAGAGTCAAGTATCACTCCACATCGGTGAGGATGCGCGAACTTTCAGTGGCATTGTATTGCATATCCTTGTATACTCTACCCATTGGTTATATCAGAGCATGAATCGCGAGAGACGATTCGCCTCTGACGACGCCCAAATATTCATTCTAATGCAAGAAGATAATGCAATCGTATAATCTTCATATTCGCCTATGTACAATCCCACGACGGAACGGCGATGAGACAAGCAGTATTAGAGTGGAGACCCACGTTCAGTCGGACAAATTTATATAGCTCCCATATTGTAGATAGACGCTAGGGACAAATCGGCAGCGAGGATCTCGTGATGCCGCTCACGATGGAGCCCAACAGACAACCCATACGCTCCGAGCCGAAGAAGGCCGTGATGTAATTCGCACCCTCACCTCGGTTACGTCGGTACTTGGTCAAGCAGCCCCCCTCGGCGGAATCTGCGCGAACAAGCTTTTTAGCGCGGTGCGGCACATCAAGAAGTTGCGGGCATTTTATGAAAGAGCAGCCAATCGGCTCAGTTGCGCATAGTGGCAGGCCGCGAAAGAATTACCTACGGCGAGTTCTCGAACGCCTACGCCTGCCGGCTGACCAGTTGGTTCAGCATGTTTCGTTTCATCGGGCTATACCACGCCGCCTAATATTGCGGGGGGGGGGGACGGCAGTCAAGGCTTGCCTTGCTCGCCGACAGGGTGCTCCCCAGCGAACGAAAATCGCCCGACAGATGAGACCCTGGAATGGTCAATGCCAAGTCAATTGCCGAGATCTGGGGTAAGCAGCCTATTGGGGGTCGGAAGATTCGATGGCCTGTCACCACGATGTCGCCTAGGTAAATGCAAAGAGGCCGCAGCTCGTTTATGCTATCCCAGAGGCTTCTTCGGAACCGCGCCGTGGCGTCTAATATTTTCCATGAGAGCCCCACACAGATATGGTCTGTGGGACGCGGCGAAAGGGCCGCAACCGCAGACCATATATCCCCCCTCTTGGCTTGCTCCCATCGGAGGATAGCAAAGCTATTGATACTTCATAGACCTCCAGGAACTTACGAGATACGCTAGTCTCAACCGAACGAGACAACTATTTAACCAAGGAGCCTCGAAGCTGTCAGTAAAACAGAAGTTCTGCCCACAAGACTTACTATAAACTACAAGAACAGAAAGCGACTAGTCCAGTTCCAACATAGCCCCGAAAGTATTTGCTCTGTTGGCACCCGAAACTGAACTACCATACAACAAGGTTTGCTATCCTCTTAACCGGCCGTCGAGGATGGGAAGCGTATCATACGACCTCTCCAAAGCCAGGGGTCTGCAACCGTGAGCGCTCCATATCATGCCTTGGGCCCATATTAAGTGCGATGGAAAGCCTAACTGGTCCCAGAGAGGATCTCACACCAGCAGAAGATGTCATTAACCATCCCGCATTCGCCACTGCGGTCTGGGACCTAGAGCCGGCGAGAGAAGGAAAGGCGGTGGTGGCTCGAGGTCGCCAGGGTGGCCCGCTCAACATATACTGGCAGATCCATGGAGGAGGCCCCATCCGGATCCTGGTGAGCTTGATGTCCAATTCTGCTCAACCATGTATATTTTCTAAGTGATTTTTAAGTTGATTTGCGGTATTGCGGCGAGACACACAGCATGGCAACGCCAGACCCTTCACTTCGGCCATATTAACGGTGACAAGTACTCTGTCCTCCTCGTCGATAACCGCGGCTCAGGCAACTCCGACAAGCCCTTCCGGTACAGCACCTCAGAGATGGCCATGGATCTCGTAGAAGTTCTCGACCACGTCGGGTGGGCCGAAGACCGACAGATCCATGTGGTTGGCCTTAGTCTTGGAGGAATGATCGCCCAAGAACTAGCGATGCTCATCCCCGAAAGGATGAGCACTCTCAATCTGATCCACACCGCCGCACATATCGAGGCCACGTGGTGGGAGAACATAGTAAACTACTCAGGCCTCCTGAAGCCCCGAACCCTTGACCAAAGCCTCGCGGCAGCGGCCATGTCCATGTTTAGTCACGAGTGGCTCTTGGCTCCTGACGATGCGGCTGTGCCTCAGAAGGGCATGCCGGGAGTCAAGATGCCCCCCGGTGGCAAGTACCTCATGTTCGAGACCAACTTCCAGCGGTACGCGGCCCAGGAGATCAGGAAGCAGAGAATGCCGAACTATGGGGAGGGGGACAAGTGGGGAATCCTAGGCCACTTTATCGCCTCATCCTGTCATAACAAGACGGACGCCCAGCTTCGCGAAATTTCCGAGAAAGTCGGACGCGAGAGGATCCTGGTTATCCACACGAAGGAAGATGGCATGATCCCCTGCAGATATGGGCAGAAGCTGGTAGAGGTCCTCCAGCCCGGAAGCGGACTAATTCTGGAGGGCCAGGGGCATGTGCCAAAGCTAGAGAAGGCTAAGTGGTTTAATAAGCTTCTAGAGGGAAGCTTCGCCAAGGGGGAAGCACTGACCAGGGCAAGGGAAACTTAATTATCTACAAATTATTGTGTTACAGAGTACTACAGGGTGTTACAGCTACACGAAGATTCACTTTTTCTTACACAAGTCTTCTGCGCCTCCATCACTGTACTCGCGTGGTCGACAACTGCCGCGAGCTTCGATTTGGGAGCAGAAGATGGCCTCTTAGCCGATCAAGCCCTTATACCTCAAGCTTACCCTTCTTTTCTGTGGGCATGACCAATTCGCCGTCTACTTCAACGATGGTTCCTACTCGTTCCCGGAATCGGGGACTCGCCTTGGCGGCATCTGCAGGCGGGACGAGCATGGTGTCGATCAACTCGTAGAAAAGACGACGCCAGTGTCGCTGATACCACCATGAGACGTAGCATACGGCGATCATCATGGCAATCGAGAGCCACCCAGTCAGCATCCAGTACCTCCGCGCGTAATAGATGGAATCCGGGGAGTTGGTGGAAATCGGAATCATGTAGCTGATAAAGTCGGCGGTGAGCCAGTAGTTCACCGGGACGACGCATCTGCAGTTGCGGTACATGCCCACGAGCTGCATCAGCGTCCCAAGAATTGTTGTGAACATGGATCCAAACATCCCGAAGCAAGTAAGGCCGCCCATGAGCGTCGGGACGAAAAGCAGCCCCTGTCTCAGCCCTATGCGTGGTCCTACATCGTGCCACATCTTGAAGTGGTTGTCACTGGGAAAATCCCAGAACCAGAGGGCACTCAG